ATTCAGTTTACGGCATTTCTCATTAATTTCTAGGGTCTCTGTAAACTGTGACCATCACTGGGCTCTGGTCAGGGGCTGGAGCCGTCACTGGCATGGTGGCCATCTTGGCTGAAGACTCAGGTGTGTTATTTTCTCGGGGACTCGGGGATGAACGGAGGACTCGGGGATGAACTGACTTAGGGATGAACTGACTCATGGACTCAGGGATAAACGGACTCGGGGATGAACGGACTCGGGGATGAACAGACTCGGGGATGAACGGACTCGGGGATGAACGGACTCAGGGATAAACGGACTCGGGGATGAACGGACTCGGGGATGAACGGACTTGGGGATGAACGGACTCGGGGATGAACGGACTCAGGGATGAACGGACTCGGGGATGAACGGACTCGGGGATGAACTGACTTAGGGATGAACTGACTCATGGACTCAGGGATGAACGGACTCGGGGATGAACGGACTCGGGGATGAACGGACTCGGGGATGAACAGACTCGGGATGAACGGACTCGGGGATGAACGGACTCAGGGATGAACGGACTCGGGGATGAACGGACTTGGGGATGAACGGACTTGGGGATGAACGGACTCGGGGATGAACGGACTTGGGGATGAACGGACTCAGGGATGAACGGACTCGGGGATGAACTGACTTAGGGATGAACTGACTCATGGACTCAGGGATGAACGGACTCGGGGATGAACGGACTCGGGGATGAACGGACTCGGGGATGAACGGACTCGGGGATGAACAGACTCGGGGATGAACGGACTCGGGGATGAACGGACTCAGGGATGAACGGACTCGGGGATGAACGGACTCGGGGATGAACGGACTCGGGGATGAACGGACTCGGGGATGAACGGACTCGGGGATGAACGGACTCGGGGATGAACGGACTTGGGGATGAACGGACTCAGGGATGAACGGACTCGGGGATGAACGGACTCGGGGATGAACGGACTCCGGGATGAACGGACTCAGGGATGAACGGACTCGGGGATGAACGGACTCGGGGATGAACGGACTCAGGGATGAACGGACTCGGGGATGAACGGACTCGGGATGAACGGACTCGGGGATGAACAGACTCGGGGATGAACGGACTCGGGGATGAACGGACTCAGGGATGAACGGACTCGGGGATGAACGGACTCGGGGATGAACGGACTCGGGGATGAACGGACTCGGGGATGAACGGACTCGGGGATGAACGGACTCGGGGATGAACGGACTCGGGGATGAACGGACTCGGGGATGAACGGACTCAGGGATGAACGGACTCAGGGATGAACGGACTCGGGGATGAACGGACTCGGGGATGAACAGACTCGGGGATGAACGGACTCGGGGATGAACGGACTCAGGGATGAACGGACTCGGGGATGAACGGACTCGGGGATGAACGGACTCGGGGATGAACGGACTCGGGGATGAACGGACTCGGGGATGAACGGACTCGGGGATGAACAGACTTGGGGATGAACGGACTCAGGGATGAACGGACTCGGGGATGAACGGACTCGGGGATGAACGGACTCCGGGATGAACGGACTCAGGGATGAACGGACTCGGGGATGAACGGACTCGGGGATGAACGGACTCGGGGATGAACGGACTCGGGGATGAACGGACTCATGGACTCAGGGATGAACGGACTCGGGGATGATCGGACTCGGGGATGAACGGACTCGGGGATGAACGGACTCATGGACTCAGGGATGAACGGACTCGGGGATGAATGGACTCAGGGATGAACGGACTCGGGGATGAACTGACTCGGGATGAGCTGACTCATGGACTCAGGGATGAACGGACTCAGGGATGAACGGACTCGGGGATGAACGGACTCGGGGATGAACGGACTCAGGGATGAACGGACTCGGGGATGAACGGACTTGGGGATGAACGGACTCGGGGATGAACGGACTCAGGGATGAACGGACTCGGGGATGAACGGACTCGGGGATGATCGGACTCGGGGATGAACGGACTCGGGGATGAACGGACTCATGGACTCAGGGATGAACGGACTCGGGGATGAACTGACTCGGGATGAGCTGACTCATGGACTCAGGGATGAACGGACTCGGGGATGAACGGACTCGGGGATGAACGGACTCGGGGATGAACGGACTCGGGGATGAACGGACTCGGGGATGAACGGACTCGGGGATGAACGGACTCGGGATGAACGGACTCGGGATGAACGGACTCGGGGATGAATGGACTCAGGGATGAACGGACTCAGGGATGAACGGACTCGGGATGAACTGACTCGGGATGAGCTGACTCATGGACTCAGGGATGAACGGACTCAGGGATGAACGGACTCGGGGATGAACGGACTCGGGGATGAACGGACTCGGGGATGAACGGACTTGGGGATGAACGGACTCGGGATGAACGGACTCGGGGATGAACGGACTCATGGACTCAGGGATGAACGGACTCAGGGATGAACGGACTCGGGGATGAACAGACTCAGGGATGAACGGACTCAGGGATGAACTGACTCGGGATGAGCTGACTCATGGACTCAGGAATGAACAGACTCAGGGATGAACGGACTCGGGGATGAACTGACTCGGGATGAGCTGACTCATGGACTCAGGGATGAACAGACTCGGGGATGAACGGACTCGGGGATGAACGGACTCGGGGATGAACGGACTCGGGGATGAACGGACTCATGGACTCGGGGATGAACGGACTCGGGGATGAATGGTGACCACATTTCAAGTGACCACATTTCATCCACCTTACAATTTTTAACATATGCAGATATTCCCCTTTTAAGCACACAACATCTTACATGTTTCTTGTCTCAATTTTTAGTATCTTCTTTTCACCCATTTAAGCAACAAATTTATAAAAAATATTAACTAAAAATATGAGTCTGACATGACTAAGAGCAGTGGTTTTGAATCAAATTAGCAAAATCTTTTACAGAAAATTCATTGAACAGAACTACCTCAAAAGAATAACGTTTTCACAAATATGACAACATCATTACACAGTTCAGCTAGTTTAGCAGTCAGCATAGACATAAACTATATTACATTATATTGCCTTTCTTGGGTTCTGCGTGTTATATTGACGCTAAAAGGTGCCATGTGCGTAGTATTTCGATGACATGTCATATGTACATATGAGTCAGAACTCATATAGAGTCCAAATTTGCCGTAAACAGAATGAGAACATGGATCCATCATGCCTTGTTCCCACTGTGCAGGCTGGTGGTGGTGGTGTAATGGTGTGGGGATGTTTTCTTGGCACACTTTAGGCCCCTTAGTGCCAATTGGGCACCGTTTAAATGCCACGGCCTACCTGAGCATTGTTTCTGACCATGTCCATCCCTTTATGGCCACCATGTCCCCATCCTCTGATGGCTACTTCCAGCAGGATAATGCTCCATGTCACAAAGCTCAAATCATTTCAAACTGGTTTCTTGAACATGTCAATGAGTTGACTGTACTAAAATGGCCGCCACAGTCACCAGATCTCAACCCAATAGAGCATCTTTGGGATGTGGTGGAACGGGAGCTTCATCCCACAAATCTCCATCAACTGCAAGATGCTATCCTATCAATATGGGCCAACATTTCTAAAGAATGCTTTCAGCACCTTGTTGAATCAATGCCATGTAGAATTAAGGCAGTTCTGAAGGAGAAAGAGGGTCAAACACAGTATTAGTATGGTATTCCCAATAATCCTTTAGGTGAGTGTATATGATTAATAAGCCTGTGGAAATACTTAATGTGGAAATAATTATACTTGAAGTTTGTATAGTTATATACTATTTGTATAGTTAAATATTTTTCTAGTGACTAACAGGCAATAAAGACAGTCAAATTAGAAGTACATTGTGGCCTTGTTTTTTCATACTTCTGTACAAGTGGTAGATCTTGGTTTACTTCTGGACTTGGGATGTGATCCTAGGCTTGGGAATTTAGGTGTTTTCATTTTTAACATGTTCTTTCTTTCAGCCCAGTTAATAATGCTTATTGGTTACTGATTGTAGTTTATTCTTTGATGTCTTAATTCGTAGCATTTTTAAAATAATTGGGCTGTCATACAGACTCCTAATGAATGGCTTCTAGTGAGGACTGAGAATCAACTCGCAGATTATAGACTACGAATATTTTCTGTTTATTCATACATTTTACATAACAATCGTGCTTTTTCATATGACACCATTTAAATACATGTCCTATGTTATAATTTTAGGCAGTGTAACAGTTAAAAATATACAAAACAATATTATTTCTTACGAGACATAAATACTATTTGTTTTATAATCCTTTTTATGATCATCACTCATGATTTCCATAAGGTATGTGCTTCAGAGCTCAAAATATTATTGCAGAAAACAGCAATTGTTTTTCAAATTTTTCAACATTTAGACAAAAAACTTAATGGAGTACAGACATTCACAGTTACATGTTTTACACAATACAATTTTACAAGAAAGTTCCAGATAAAACTGCAGAAAGTATCTTTGTACAAAACTCACAGGACATAGCCATTTCACATTTTATGTAGATGCGTATCTCCTCTTAGTAAACATGTTCAACATGACCGAATGCTTTTCACGTGTAGCTGCCTTTGACGGAAACTGTCAGCACATCAGCCCTGTCGTCGGAGAAGTCTCTGTACTCTAGGGTTTGTGCTTTTCTTTTCTTTTTTCTTTTTTGGGGGGGATGGGGGCAGAAAAGCCCTAATTACGTTTTAGTATATGCTACTTACTTAAAATATGGTATTAACCATTAAGAAATATTTTTTTATCCTTTTTCAAAAAGGTATGGCACAATATAGTATAGTGTAAACCATTGTTATTGATAGGCCAGTTTGTGTGTGCATTTCTGCTTCGTTTTAACGATTCAACATTTTGGCACATTAAGTAACTAATGGTCATGCAAATTGCGACTACATAAATCACAGGCTTATGGAGCTGATATGCACTCAGGGTCAGAGACATATCTGAGTTTTTTTTTTTCTTCTTCTTCTTTTTTTTCCTGAGGGGACATGTAAACAGGACACTGAACTGACAGCACTCATCAGTAATCTGTAGAATAATCTGCAAAAATGTTCACCCTGTGTTTTGCGGTGTTCTCATTTTCTGTATTTTTGTACCCTGTGCTTTACAAACTACACACTGCCAGGCATAGATTCGTTTTTGCTTTAGTCTATGATTTTGGTCCTTGGTCTCAACATTAAAGTACAAAGCATTCTAAAAATAATTCTAAAAATCACTTACAAGTATTTTCTCTTTTTTAGCTCGGAAAAGAAAAAGATAGTAACAGTCTCTCTCAACAAAGATATTCAACAACATACAATGGGTCATCCAAGGGCTCAACCGAATAAAAATTCATTGTGCTTCGGACACAGGGCTTGCTGGATGCGCCTTGGTTTTTCCAAATGACCCACAATACAACATAATCATAATCATGGACTCCTGCTTTGTCCCAGTGCAACATAGAAACTGTTTATACCTTACATAAATAGCTTATGCATTGCAAAACAATGCACTGTCCTTAAATCTAACTCACAGTATAACCTTAGTAGAGACAAATTTACATAATACATTGTATAATTCATTTTTTTTAACACTGACACTTGTTGCTTCACATTTGGAAAGCTTACAGAGTTTGTGTTTGTGTGTAAGTTTTTCAAATGCAAATGGTTTTTTTTTGTTTGTGTTTTTAATTATTTTTGTCACTTTTTATGTTTAGTTTTGTTATTATTTATGACCCCTGGAGGTAGATGATTCTTTTACTGTATAAACATGGAAGTCTTCTGTGCTGTTAATCTTTGATTGCTCTCTGCTGGGGTTCACCTCTACTGCTTTTAGACATTGGCATCGCTACCAGGGTTAGTCGGAGATGTACTATCAGCCTGCACCTGCGGCTGTGACGGAGGCGGAGGCTGAGACTGCGGCTCTGGCTGTGGTGATTGCGGTTGCTGCTGTGCCTGGTCCTGTGGTTGCGGTGATTGTGGTTGTTGTGGTGATTGCGGTTGCTGTGGTGATTGCGGTTGCTGTGGTAATTGCGGTTGCTGTGGTGATTGCGGTTGCTGTGGTGATTGCGGTTGCTGTGGCGATTGTGGTTGTTGCGGTGATTGTGGTTGCTGCTGTGCCTGGTCTGGTTGCTGCGGTTGTTGCGGTGATTGCTCCGGCAGCTGTGGCGGTGACTGAAGCTGCTGTTGCTCTGGCCCATTCTCCTGAGCACGCCTCACTGCTGGAGGCTGCAGCATTATCCTGAACCGCTGAAATAAGGCCCCAGAACCAGCACCAGTAAGCACAGATATACCATGTAATGCCTGTGTAATCTTTGTTCATTATTTAATTCGTAAATGTAAACAGTTACCTCCTTATATGTCCCCTTCAGGGTGAAGAACATGTAGGTCATATAACCAGGAATGAGAACCATAGAGGATAAAGCCATGAGCCAGCCCACTCCTTGCCCCCATTTAGGGAACACATAGTTGTTCATTTTAAGAGGAACCATTTGCACTGCGCTGAAGAGGAACACACCCTGCAGGAAAGCTCTGTTTAGAAATACTGCAGTTTTCACGCAATTACTGTACACCATAATCTGTAACGATTCTTACTTTTATAGTGAAGACTACAATACTTTAGAAATGGGGTGCCACTTTACATTAGGTGTCTTTAACTACTATGTGCAATATACTGTGCTCCTGAGGTGGGATAAGGATAAGGTTGTGGGCAGGCTTGCTGGTATGGGTAGATTTAAGGGTGGGTTCAAGTGTAGGGGAAGGTCAGCAGTTTAATTCTCATTACAGAAATGTATTACAGCTGTAATTACACTGGAACAGTCAATGGGACCGTAAAATGAACACTGTTTTACGGCAAATAAACCCTTAAGATTTTGTTATATTTTAAACATTATTGCAAATTTAGGTTTATGTTAGGTATCAAGCTGTAAACTACATTTTTATTTACCATAAACCACCATGGATCATGTTTGTGTCAAGCAGAGAGGATGCAGGATCTAAATGCAGCAGGCTTTTATTGAACAAACTCAAAATGAACCAAAACACTCAGAACAGCTCAGGCACAGAACAACCAACATATAAAACGGACAACAACAGACAACTAGACAGGACTAAACACAGGGATTAAATCAAGGAAACAAGACACAGCTGACATGACTAACAGGATACCGAATCAAAGAGAAAACCCTGTGAAAACTGGCTCAAATTGACAGGCAAACATGAACTAACAAACACTAAACGTGACAAAACACAACTCTTCCTACAAGGCGTGGGCTCGTGTCATATTACATCAATGGTGGGAGGAGTCGGAGTCACCTCTGGGCTCTTGGCGGAAGACGGAGTCACCTCTGGACTCTTGACGGGAGACGAGTCACCTCTGGACTCTTGACGGGAGAGAGAGTCACCTCTGGACTCTTGACGGGAGACGGAGTCACCTCTGGACTCTTGACGGGAGATGAGTCACCTCTGGACTCTTAACAGGAGATGAGTCACCTCTGGACTCTTGGCGGAAGACGGAGTCACCTCTGGACTCTTGACGGGAGAGAGAGTCACCTCTGGACTCTTGACGGGAGAGAGAGTCACCTCTGGACTCTTAACAGGAGATGAGTCACCTCTGGACTCTTAACAGGAGATGAGTCACCTCTGGACTCTTGACGGGAGAGAGAGTCACCTCTGGACTCTTAACAGGAGATGAGTCACCTCTGGACTCTTGACGGAAGACGGAGTCACCTCTGGACTCTTGACGGGAGAGAGAGTCACCTCTGGACTCTTGACGGGAGAGAGAGTCACCTCTGGACTCTTAACAGGAGATGAGTCACCTCTGGACTCTTAACAGGAGATGAGTCACCTCTGGACTCTTGACGGGAGAGAGAGTCACCTCTGGACTCTTAACAGGAGATGAGTCACCTCTGGACTCTTGACGGGAGAGAGAGTCACCTCTGGACTCTTAACAGGAGGTGAGTCACCTCTGGACTCTTGACGGGAGAGAGAGTCACCTCTGGACTCTTAACAGGAGATGAGTCACCTCTGGACTCTTGACGGGAGAGAGAGTCACCTCTGGACTCTTGACGGGAGAGAGAGTCACCTCTGGACTCTTGACGGGAGACGAGTCACCTCTGGACTCTTGACGGGAAACGGAGTCACCTCTGGACTCTTGACGGGAAACGGAGTCACCTCTGGACTCTTGACGGGAGACGAGTCACCTCTGGACTCTTGACGGGAGACGAGTCACCTCTGGACTCTTGACGGGAGAGAGTCACCTCTGGACTCTTAACAGGAGATGAGTCACCTCTGGACTCTTGACGGGAGAGAGAGTCACCTCTGGACTCTTGACGGGAGAGAGAGTCACCTCTGGACTCTTGACGGGAGAGAGAGTCACCTCTGGACTCTTGACGGGAGACGAGTCACCTCTGGACTCTTGACGGGAGATGGAGTCACCTCTGGACTCTTGACGGGAAACGGAGTCACCTCTGGACTCTTGACGGGAGACGAGTCACCTCTGGACTCTTGACGGGAGACGAGTCACCTCTGGACTCTTGACGGGAGACGGAGTCACCTCTGGACTCTTGACGGGAGACGAGTCACCTCTGGACTCTTGACGGGAGATGAGTCACCTCTGGACTCTTGACGGGAGACGAGTCACCTCTGGACTCTTGACGGGAGACGAGTCACCTCTGGACTCTTGACGGGAGACGAGTCACCTCTGGACTCTTGACGGGAGATGAGTCACCTCTGGACTTTTAACAGGAGATGAGTCACCTCTGGACTCTTGACGGGAGAGAGAGTCACCTCTGGACTCTTAACAGGAGATGAGTCACCTCTGGACTCTTGACGGGAGATGAGTCACCTGGACTCTTGACGGGAGATGAGTCACCTCTGGACTCTTGACAGGAGACGAGTCACCTCTGGACTCTTAACAGGAGATGGAGTCCTCTGGACTCTTGACAGGAGACGAGTCACCTCTGGACTCTTGACGGGAGACGAGTCACCTCTGGACTTTTAACAGGAGATGGAGTCACCTGGACTCTTGACGGGAGACAGAGTCACCTCTGGACTCTTAACAGGAGATGGAGTCACCTGGACTCTTGACGGGAGACAGAGTCACCTCTGGACTCTTGATAGGAGACGAGTCACCTCTGGACTCTTGACGGGAGAGAGAGTCACCTCTGGACTCTTGACGGGAGATGAGTCACCTCTGGACTCTTGACGGGAGACAAGTCACCTCTGGACTCTTGACGGGAGATGAGTCACCTCTGGACTCTTGACGGGAGAGAGAGTCACCTCTGGACTCTTAACAGGAGATGGAGTCACCTCTGGACTCTTGATGGGAGAGAGTCACCTCTGGACTCTTAACAGGAGACAGAGTCACCTCTGGACTCTTGATGGGAGATGAGTCACCTCTGGACTCTTGACGGGAGAGAGAGTCACCTCTGGACTCTTGATGGGAGATAAGTCACCTCTGGACTCTTGACGGGAGACGAGTCACCTCTGGACTCTTGACGGGAGAGAGAGTCACCTCTGGACTCTTAACAGGAGATGGAGTCACCTCTGGACTCTTAACAGGAGATGGAGTCACCTGGACTCTTGACGGGAGACAGAGTCACCTCTGGACTCTTGATAGGAGACGAGTCACCTCTGGACTCTTGACGGGAGAGAGTCACCTCTGGACTCTTAACAGGAGACAGAGTCACCTCTGGACTCTTAACAGGAGATGGAGTCACCTGGACTCTTGACGGGAGACAGAGTCACCTCTGGACTCTTGATAGGAGACGAGTCACCTCTGGACTCTTGACGGGAGAGAGAGTCACCTCTGGACTCTTGACGGGAGATGAGTCACCTCTGGACTCTTGACGGGAGACGAGTCACCTCTGGACTCTTGACGGGAGACGAGTCACCTCTGGACTCTTGACGGGAGAGAGAGTCACCTCTGGACTCTTAACAGGAGATGGAGTCACCTCTGGACTCTTAACAGGAGACAGAGTCACCTCTGGACTCTTGACGGGAGAGAGTCACCTCTGGACTCTTAACAGGAGACAGAGTCACCTCTGGACTCTTGATGGGAGATGAGTCACCTCTGGACTCTTGACGGGAGAGAGAGTCACCTCTGGACTCTTGATGGGAGATAAGTCACCTCTGGACTCTTGACGGGAGACGAGTCACCTCTGGACTCTTGACGGGAGAGAGAGTCACCTCTGGACTCTTAACAGGAGATGGAGTCACCTCTGGACTCTTAACAGGAGACAGAGTCACCTCTGGACTCTTGACGGGAGAGAGTCACCTCTGGACTCTTAACAGGAGACAGAGTCACCTCTGGACTCTTGACGGGAGATGAGTCACCTCTGGACTCTTGACGGGAGACGAGTCACCTCTGGACTCTTGACGGGAGACGAGTCACCTCTGGACTCTTGACGGGAGAGAGAGTCACCTCTGGACTCTTAACAGGAGATGGAGTCACCTCTGGACTCTTAACAGGAGACAGAGTCACCTCTGGACTCTTGACGGGAGAGAGTCACCTCTGGACTCTTAACAGGAGACAGAGTCACCTCTGGACTCTTGATGGGAGATGAGTCACCTCTGGACTCTTGACGGGAGAGAGAGTCACCTCTGGACTCTTGATGGGAGATAAGTCACCTCTGGACTCTTGACGGGAGACGAGTCACCTCTGGACTCTTGACGGGAGAGAGAGTCACCTCTGGACTCTTAACAGGAGATGGAGTCACCTCTGGACTCTTAACAGGAGATGGAGTCACCTCTGGACTCTTGACGGGAGATGAGTCACCTCTGGACTCTTAACAGGAGATGGAGTCACCTCTGGACTCTTGACGGGAGATGAGTCACCTCTGGATCTTGACGAAGACAAGTCACCTCTGGACTCTTAACAGGAGATGGAGTCACCTGGACTCTTGACGGGAGACAGAGTCACCTGTGGACTCTTGATGGGAGACAGAGTCACCTCTGGACTCTTAACGGGAGATGGTGCCACCTGGACTCTTGACGGGACACAAGAGTCACCTCTGGAATCTTGATGGGAGACTTGATGGGCACTGGAGATTCATGCGCGTCGGCGGCCATCTTGGCTTCCAGGGACTTCGTCGGGTGTCTGGAAGTTCAACTGGGTGGTAGTAGTTGGTCCTGATCCAATATAGTGTTCTGAGGGTTTCGTCATCATAGGGTGAGAGAATGGCAAGACGGCAGAATTCCACAGAGTTTTCCACAAAGTTTTGGTCCCTTCCGAGCCAAAGTAGTGAACTGCAATATTTTAAAGGTCTGTCATTTTGTCACATGCAGGTTTAAGCAGAGAGGATGCAGGAACTATATGCAGCAGGCTTTTATTGAACAAACTCAAAATGAAACAAAACACCCAGAACAGCACAGAACAACTAACAATTAATATGGACAATGACAGACAACAAGACGGGACTAAACACAGGGCTTAAATACACAGGGACTAAATCAAGGAAACAAGACAGCTGACATGACTTGCGATGCACATGTGAACAGGATACTGGGAAAATGGGTCAAATTAACAGGCAAACATGAACTAATGCTGCGTTCCAGGCAGGTTTTTGAGCACATAAATCATGACTTCAAACCACGACTCACGACTTTCTAGCATTCCAGGCCAGTCACGCCAAACTACTTGAGCGCAAGAAATTGTGGTAGCTAGATGTAAACAAACCAGCATGGCGGATCTTATGGGGTTAATGCGCATTTGTAATCATTTCTATCGCCAAAGGTGCTTACTCCTAGTTTATTTGAGGGAAACCGAGGAGATAAAGCGGTGCATAAGGCAAGATAAGCTGTTATACCTTTTAATTGATTTTATTTGTATATTTGAAAATGTATTTGGTATTAATTTATCCTTGCTCTCAATGGACTGAAAAGTAGTTATCATTATATTGTCCTAAAGTGTATTCTCACCGTGTACCGCCTGCAGACACACTGCATTACACTGTTGTTTTGTATGGTTTCGCGGGCTATGTGACGTCAGAGCTCGTAAGTGGGAGCATATCGATCTAGTACGAGTTCACTGGTGGGTGCACTTTCACGGCAATAAGGTTGGAAAAACACGGGTTACAGGTTGCCTGGAACGCTGCATAACAAACACTAAATGTGACAATTTGGAAGTTTGGTGGTTTTGATTAAGGACAAGGGACTTTCTTATGTGTCTCTCATTAAAATGTGCATATAACGAATCGGAGGGAAACATCTTAAGGCCCTTGCACACTGAGTCCGAAATTCGGGGGCGCAATTTTCGCACTTTAAAAAATAAATACAACCTCACGTTGTGTCAATCTTTATTGACACAACGTGTCAAGGACTAACCTTGCACACTGCCTCCGAAACTTTCATCCATCAAAAAAAAATTAGATTGGGTTCGATTTTCTTTTTCGCATCCATAGCAAGCAGTTTGAACGTTGTTTGACAATTCAGAGTCACCGAATCACGAATATGAAAAAAAACACACAAAAATTTCGGACTCAATGTGTAAGCACCTTTAACGCTGCTTGCTGGAAACAACAATAAAGGCTTTTTACTTTTGAAGAGGCATCTTGAATTTTTGTCTAATTTTTATGTGCAAATAAAGACTTTAATAATGAATACCTGATTAACTGGCACTGAAACAATTGCAAGACAACTCATTTTACACTGAATTGAGCTGGACAAGGACTAACCTTGCAACATCTGCAACTGAATTGCATCAACATTGAACTGGCTCGAGCTGAATAATGACAATGTCACTGCATTTAGTAGAGCTGCTTATAGCTAAATTCAACTAAATTTAACTTATATAACTGATGTACTTTGCTACATTGACAGTATTATTTTCCTGATTATTAATGTGAAGCTGCTTTGAAACAATCTGTATATTATAAAGTGCTCTATAAATAAATTTGTCTTGCACTAATTCTCCACACAGACTAACAATTATACTCTACTATTATCGATTTATTTAAATGTTTGTCACAAAAATGGCAAGAGCTTTTAGAAAATGTAATATCACATTAAACAGAATAAAGCAGGTTACTTACAGCAACAATCAGAGGGGTGAAGAAAACCCAGCACAGTTTCCACCATATACAAGGCTTGTATCCAATCATTTCCTGGATGTTGTCATAAAACTTGTTCACACCTGAAATGACATAAAATTGAATAGGGATTAGATCAATTCAATGCAACTATATTGCAGCAACTGGATTGAAGGCTGGAATACATACAATCTATCAATCCATCCATCTTTATCTGTAGCAGTGTTGAGGACTCAATACAATCTGAACCGAGACATTTGTTGTGTACAAAATCGAATACTCAAAACATAGAGTGTGTTGGGCAGTCACGTGTTTCTATCAATGGGTTACAGTAAAACTATTTGCAAGTGATTACTAGGTGATTACTATTTGCAGCAACTAGTAGTAACTAGTTTCTAATAAGATTCACAGTCCATAAAATAGCTTGTTGCAATGTTATTTTGTTGCTTTCCCTACTGTTTGAAATCCAACAATCCAATCATTCCTAGATTAATTTCGTAATCTTCATGATTTGTGGGTGCACGTAAAGTCACCATTCCTGCAAGCTAGGTTGGAATATGTAAAAGCTTACATTCAGTGGCTGGAAATATTGACATTACTTTGATTTTGTCAGGAGAAAAGATGAAAAGAACACCATGTGGCATTACATGGCGAGGCCATCCATATTGCTTTTATCCCGATATACATTATATCCACCTGTTTTGACAACATACATCATGAAATATAATCATATCTGGGTAACATCATCACACACCTTCCACCACACCTACAGATTGGCATGGTTTTACTTCAGTTAGCCTAATAGCTGGTTTGATTTGCATTGAAAGATGATCTTATGGAAAGTACCCTAGGCATGGTGAATAATGTGTGTGATGATGATGTGGGGATATTTTAATCCCAAAGGCCAAGGGCACTTTATCAGGATGCATATTATCCTGGATCCATGAAATAACTGGCTTTTAAAAATAAAAACCTGCCTGACTCTATGGGAATTTAACATAGGGGTGCCCTGACTTATGCACCCTGTATTTTAAGGAAAAACATTTATTTATTTATGACACATTATTCATTCACAAAGAAAATTGGTGTCCTTAAAGGTTGGAGTTTTCCTATTTTTTCTAATTAAGGCATTAAGATCAATATCCAAATGATGATTTTTTATTCGTCTTTTTAGGCAACTTTAGCATGGGGGCCAACACTTATTCACACCACTGTAAATATACCCTAACATTCACAAAGAGGCACACATACAAAGTCAGAATTTTGAGGAGAAATTACCACTTCTGCGGGGTGAAGAGTAATATAACAAGTAGTGTAACGAATTACTGTTGCCAGAAAGTAATAAGTAATAATATTATAATGAGTAATTAATAAAAAAAAGATACAAGTTAAACACTGACTATGTATTATGCTACTATACTATATATATATATACTACACACATCCATACTAATTAGAGCAAACGTTTTTTAACAGTCATGAAGCAAGTTTCAAACCACATGAAATATCTACATTACAGTAATCAATGTCAGATGCATATGGGTGTTGCTCAATAGGCATATCTCGGCTGCCACCACATCAAGCGCCGCTGAAGGCCATCTCTATTTGAAGGGTCTAGGAAGGCAGTCTTTCTTTCGGCCTGTCTGTTTTAAAGGATGCATCAGATGTATCCTTTGCGCCCTTAAATCACCCACAATCCTTTGCACACATTCAAATCCACTAAAAGCTGAGTCATACAGAGCTTGTCTGAGTTCATTATTGTAATTTATTATTACTGTTTAGTCCAGTGTGTGCAGCATAATTCCTGAAAAAATGCTGTAATCTAATGGGACGTGAGACAAACTAAAGAATCAAATTACAGTTGTTCTGCAGTAACTGTACTACCGGTTCAGCTGGAGTGTGTTCACGGCCTTCATATCGCGGCTCCACTACTGTACAGTCTCTGCCTAATCAGCACAAGATGTCCGCACCATATTGGGACATTGGTGGCTTCACTTTTCTTCAATGGAAGAGAGTGAATGAGCGTCATCCATCTTTTTTGACAGTCTATGGTTTAGTCATTCATTAGTTGCCATGGTCCCTAATTAGTCCACACCTGTTCCCTGTTCTGTTGTACCTTCCTCTGTGTCTTTCAGCCTTCAGTCTTCCTCAGTTCTCTGTCTTGTGTTAAAGTTTTCTTCCATCTTGCTGATAAAGTTTCTTTAGTCATTCGGCAGTCTTACAGCCTGAATCCCTGCAGGAAATCCACCCTTACACGTGAAACCTTACAAATGCTCACCGAGATGATACAGACGGAAAGATAAATAATAAAGTTATCGCGCAATTCTTCTAACAGGATCATTTTATTTAGCAAAATATCTCACCATCACTGATGGTGATGTTTGGTCTAAAACACAACAACTCTCCTGCATTGCCGCAGGACAGCAAGCGTGAGTCCATTTTCTGTCATCAGTGCAGGACTGTGATATGAAGAGTGTGCAAAGTAACCTATTTTAGCCACAGTGTAAAAGTAAATAGCACATAACAGGCACTATAAACATTGGTACAACATGGATCACATGACTAAACTTACATCATCGTTTTCAAATACACTACAACTTACACACTACTTTCATTGACTTAAAACGCCGTCTCAGTGTGGACGGAAGGCCAAGCGGGAGAGAAATATACGTTTTCAAGCATGGACATGGCCTAAGGCTACAATCAGGTAAGTTTTTTTCAGGACCAACGTTCCCCACCCCTGTGTTAAAGAGTTAGTTCACCCCAAAATGGAAATTCTGTCATTAATTACTCACCCTCAAGTCATGTAAGACCTTCGTTCATCTTCCGAACACAAGTAAGATATTTTTGATGAAATCTGAGCTTTCCAATCCCTCCATAGACCGCAATGTCATTGCAACTTTCAAGGCCCAGAAAGGTAGTAAAAAAGTCGTCTAAAATTTAAATAGTCCATCTGACGACAGTGGTTCAACCTTAATATTATGAAGAGGCGAAAATACTTTTGGGAACAACATTCTGGTGTAGAACCCGGAGGCGCTGTACTGTGTTTACTACGCAAATATCTGACACAATTGTTGAATAAAGAAGTTAATTTTGGGGGTTTTTTGGGGGTGAACTAACACTTTAACATTTATGGATTGTTGTGTTTGAGTAAATAAAACTAGTATATCAAGCATCATGCATCTTCCTTGTGGATTGAGCTACATTACAGAAACCTTTTAAAAGGTGTACCTTATTTAACACTAGAGCCTGCATATTAATACTGTCCCTTAAAGATACATATTAGTGCATAAATGGTTCATGTCAGTACCTTCTGAAAGGGTCCCATCCTAGTGACAGATCAAAAATTATGATAGTGTACAAAAAAAGCACTATCAACTTTCACAACGGCCAATCAGATCAGCGTAATGTCATAAACTGTGACAACACTGTCCGGTCCTATGTAGAGACATCGACATATCTCAGGTAGGTTATTTGTTTTGTCTAAGTCCTGTTAGAAAAATAATAAATGTTGGATAAAAAGTAAGGTTGACAAGGACAATTGTGCTTTTGCGAATTATATATTCACAAAAGACTAGAAGACATTCTTACCAAAAGAAGCACCAAACCGAGATGGTGGTGATTTATTAAGAGTGCTAACAATAACCACCACTATAAATCATCACAGCAAGTGTATTTAAAGCAAAATTACCCATTAAACATGGAGGTGAAGAAGAAAACTTGACGAGACTGATCAAGAGCAAAGACATGGAAATGGAAATGTGTGATAGGATGGTTGGGAAGAGGGCAAACATAATAAGGACAGAAAGGGTTGAGCTGAATTCAAAATCGTGAAGGTTTCATTGTATATCAGGCACATGACTCTCAAAGATGAGGAGCTAATACAATTTCCCAGGCAGCTGCCGATTGACAGACTGGAGTAATGGGAAAAAGATCTAACTAGCAGATAGCAAAGGTGGCAAACACTGAGAAATCCTACCAATAGACGTATCGGGGGACATACACAGAGTTAACAATGTTACAGAAACTGGAGAAGAAAGCTCATGAGACTGTCAGCACCCGCAGGCAGCAGCGGCAAACTCCACATTCACAACCACATCATCATCAAGAGCAATGGCAAGAAACGTGTTGATGTAGCAAACCCAAATGACCGTACCGTAAACAGGACGAAGAGCTTAGACAAACCAAGACCAATGCCCAGATAGCAAACTGACGTTGAATCAACGTGGAAATATGACATCGAAACAACGTTGATCTGACATTGTTTTGCTCATCGAATTAACGTTGAACCAACGTCAGACGCATCATTCTTTCAAAACTAACGGAAAATCAACTTGAAATCAATGCGTTGTTTCAACGTTATGAAAGCAAACCAATTTTCGATTTCATTTAGCTTTGAAGAATGCCGCGTCTGACGTTGGTTCAACGTTAATTCGATGAGCAAAATCAACGTTGTTTCAATGTCATGAGAGACGTCGTTTCCACGTTGATTCAATGTCAGTTTGTTGTCTGGGTGTCGTGCTGAAGACAAACGACTACATGATCAATATCACCGAAAATGACAATCTTAAGCAATATTTTTGTCATCCTTGTCACAACTTTGAATTAATGATGGTTACCAACTTCACTTTGTAATTCAATTCTGTTTCCTTACATACACATTAATTGGCTGCTCTATTCAAAATTCAAGATTTATTGTCATGTGTGTAAAACACGCACACATTTTCACAAATAAACATGCAATTAACAAAAATATACAATATGCAAATGTGTACAACAGTATTTTTGTAACAGTAATGGCACTGATGGCACCAGGCTCATTATCTTTGTACTTCATGGTTGTCTATTAGGGCTGAACGATTAATTGCATTTGCGATAAAATCGCGATATGATGAAACGCGATTTTATAATCGCAAGAGCTGCGATTACACTGGTCACGTGACACGCGGGAGCAGTCTGCAAGATCAAGCATCAATCTGGCGTTCAGAAAAGAACAGTTTATTTTTAATGTATGTGATATTGTGTTATTTATCCTCTCCCCAACAATCCTGGATCGATTCAGAGAATCTCAGAATCGAGTCCGAGCTTAGTTTTTAAACACAGATTCGTGATGACGCTGCGCGTGCTTCAGAAACGAACCGTGTTCTGCTTGCTTCTCTCTTTCTCTCTCTTTAAAACATAGTAACGTTATTTCATAAAGTTCGGTGTTAAACTGAATTACAAGGACATTCGCGGGCTTCAGTGAACAGGTTTTGCCGCTTTGCTTGATGTTATAACGTTTACTCTTGAAGTGCGCGTTCTCTAAAACATAGTAACGTTATTTCATAAAGTTCTCTCCCGCGGGAATTTTCCTTATTTCACAGAGGCATTATTTATGTCTTCTGGAATGCAGTTGGCTTATATATTAAAACTATGAAAATCACTGAAGGCTGCTTTTATTTTAAAATACTAACGCGCACTTTGTGAAGAGCGCTCGTGCATGCGGCCGTGAGCGACTCATCGGTTAAATGTGCATAAACTTGCATGTCAAAATGCTTTTATGACACGAAATTAATGTAAACACGGTCAGTTCTTAAATCAACAGGACAAACCACATTTACAATTTCAAGAGATATGTGCATTAGTGTGAATGCAGCTTATCGTATCTAAACTGAGGGGGAAATCACTCCAGCTCTCGAATGATAAACATTCACACAGCCTACTGTTAAATAACGAGACCACTCTTTCTTTATTGCTTGTAATGCTTTTTTTGTTTCTCTTTATTTACTAGCTTTTATACTTTGCAAGATATATTATTTTATAAAGCCTATTTAAAATTCTTAACATTGATTTCATTAAATGTTTTTTTTAATAATTATTTTTTAGTTATGTTTTTACACATTTTAAGTGTTGTTAGCAACAGGATCAGCGTTCGTAGATCGACTGGTAGAGACTATATTTCAAAGATGGCTTCTTCCTGTATTCGCGAAGTTGACTGTGTGTATAAAATATCTTCTTATTAAACTGTTTGGACACTGACAACGTTCTCAATGCTTCGTTTTGAATGTAGGGATCCTTATTGTGCTACCGTGTTAGTGTGGGGATATTTTGAGCCTTGTTAGTGGTAATAAAAAGCGATTTTTATTTGTCATTACTCTATGCCCTATAGACTAGCGTTATACTAGCGTTATAGGCTAAACTGTTTTAATAGATAAAACTATTTAGATTCGGCAATCATGAAAAAAAATCTCAGATAACGGTTGAATAGGTAACAATGTGCAATTAGACCAAAGGTTCATTTTGCGCCGGAGTTGTCCTTTAAGATTAATTAATAAAAAAAGTAGATCGGATCATGAGCTGCCTAAAGATTCCCTTCCTACTGTACAATGATTTATTGCTTGTGTTTGTCGACTAATACAGAAGGTAAATAACTTTTTTTTTAAATCGCATATTAAATCGCAATCGCACTATTGGTTAAAAAAAATCGCAATTAGATTATTTTCCATAATCGTTCAGCCCTATTGTCTATGACTCTGTTGTCACGAGATATGTCATTAGACTATCTATGGTAGCCCATAAGGGATAAAAAAGAAACGTGGCACACGCAACGACGGGCCGCACTATCGTTAAACTTTCATTTCCGTGCGAGTTTGAGACCACTGGTGTAAAGGATGAGCACAATGCAAAAACACACACACACACAGTGTACCAGGACGGGGAAAGGGACTCACCATAGCACCAGGAGATGGAGATACACTCAAAGAACACCAGGAAGAGCAGACACATCCCACTGGCGGAGTAATAGTCGAAGAGTTTAAACACATAGAGGCCACCCTAACACAGGAAAAACACAAGTGTGTGAGATAACACTGCACAGAGTCCTCATCATATTCAAGACTGATTACCTGTGTGATATTGGACAGCCCAATGGCGTAGGACACAGCGCAAACACACGCAATGAAGATCTCCCTCCTCTTCCGGAGCACCCGTGGGAACTCGTCCACCAGAGCCGTGATGAAGCCCTCCACTGTGCAGAACTGAGGATGGGGGCACACTTTTTAAACCTCAGTAAACCTGTGATCACAGGTGTGTGTGTGTGTGTATTATGCTGCGTTCAAGTCCTCCCGGGAAGTTCGTACTGTACGTACGAGGTGGGAAGTCGTGTTTACGACGTGAGGTGCCTTCAAGTCAGTTTCGTCTGAGCAAAATGGCAGTGCATCTTCTTTTTATGAATTACACAAAAATACAGCAAAGTTTGTTTACTCTGCTAATTAAAAAAAATGAAGAACAAAGAATGTGAATCAGGTGTGTTTTTCTTTTTATGTTTTTATTAGCTTATGAAGCCAATGTAAACTATAATTTTTATATTATAAAGATATCATATTTTGTGCAGAGAGCTTGCTTTATAAATGAAAAAGCCTTACAATGTCAATGAGTAAACATTGAAATTCAATTAAAATTTACCGTCAACAGACATTGAATGAACGTTTCTCACTGACACGCCCCCAACTCGTACAGATCGGGGCTTAAAGAAAATCCCGAGTGCGTTCAACTCGTAATTACGATCTATACGAGATGACTTGAACGCAGCATTAGCTATTACACTTTGAACATGGCTTATCCAATCAGATTTGAGCTTTTTTATGACCCAACAACAATAAAAACCAAAAAAAAAGATTTATATTTTTTAATGCCACAGGGTTGGGATTCAGTTTGGTTTTATTTAAACATTTCCACTAAACAAAGCCAAAACTCCAGATTAAGGGGGAAAAGAAGATCAGTTCAACACCAATATCCATAAAGGCAGAAATCAGCATCAAAAGATTTCACTGCGCTCAGGTCTAATTAAAATGTGTAATTCTCCTTATGTTTCCGTGTGCGGCCGCCAGGGACCGGAGTACCAAACAGATCCGTTCACTTCAGTTTCTAGGTCAGAGCTTGAGTATGAGCTCGTCTCACCTGACTGTCGATTCCCAGCATCAGCAGCATGGAGAAGAAGAGGATCGCCCACAGCGGAGAGACGGGCAACTGCGTCACAGCTTCTGGATACGCTAGAAAGGCCAAACCTGGACCTGTGGACGCCATGACCAAACAAAGCATCTCACTCATCTGAGAGGAAAGCCTTTTTTAAATAGCACTACTTCAATCATTATAAAATATTATGCAAAGTGAATTGATTACCAGATGCGGCTACATCAGCTATCGGTCTCTTTGTGACATGTGCCATGAAGCCCACAATAGAGAAAATCACAAATCCAGCAAACATACTAGTGAAGGAGTTTATACAGCACACAATGATCGAATCCCTGCAGAAAAAGGGAAAGCGTCTTTAGATGTGCTATAGCATCTAGAAAACATTCCCCTAACTGACCTGGAAGCTGCACGTCAGTTCAAGGAGAAGATCCACGTTTCATTTCACTAGTCTTACAAACTCACTCAAATTCCAGGGAAGACAGGGAACGTCACGACAGGTTTCAAGCAATCAAAAAAGGTAAATTTTCAAAAAGATGGTGTAACTGCGTCCCTCATATACCTGTACACGTTGTTATTGAAAGGGTTGTAGCTGCCCAGAGCAATAAGGGAGCCTAGACCCAAACCGTAGGAGAAGAAGATCTGTGTTGCAGCATCCAGCCAGACCTGAGACGGAAAACCCAGCTATTTAGCAGCCAGACTGGGTTTGTTGGACCTCGTCTGAATGATTAAACGTGTGCAATTACCTCAGACTCCTTCAGCTTCTCGAAGTCAGGAGTGATATAGAACAGGATCCCGTCTTTAGCCCCAGGCAGGGACACTCCACGGATGAACAGAATGAACAGCATGAAGTACGGGTAGGTGGCAGAGAAGTAAACAACCTGCAAAACATTGATTTCTCCATCAAATATTGTGAATATCGTGCATTGCTATGACAAGACACGGTTAATTGCAACCATGTAGTGAATTTATTACAAACTCCCTCAAATTCCAGACCAACAAAGACATCTCACCTTTCCAGTCCAGCTTACACCTTTCCAGATACAGAAGTACACTAGGACCCAGGCAATGGCCAGTGTTATTGCAAGTGGAGCACGAATTTCACCAGGTTTTTCTAAGCCATCAGTCATTTGATGCACATTGCGTCTGTATAAGCACACCATGCAACACAATTACACTTGACGACAAGACAATTTAAAGGTCAAAGAAGGTCATGCACGTCAATTCTTACTCCCAAAACTCCATGACAGCACTGGTGAGATTGGTGGTGTCTACTATGCTGTAGTTTGTGTAACATCTGTCTGTGTTCCATGGATTATTACAAGTTTTCCATGGAAGCTCCTACAAAGAGTAGAACAACACTTTACACTTTTATATTGAGTAAATAGCGCAGAATAATGACCTAAACATGCCATTTAAATATTTTGCACGGAGGCACACGTGACGAGGAATGCTTACAGTGGTGAAGGAGTTGTATAAGTAGTAAATGGCCCAGGCAATGATGACAATGTAGTAAATGTTCAGCCAGAATGAGAGAACGGCAGCAGCGAGACCAACACCTGTAGTTATGACAGATTCATTGATGTCAACCACCTGCTCAAAGCCAGCATATAGACTAAAGGATGCCTTATTAGATCTTCAAACTGGAAGAGCTTTCGAACAACGCGTTGGATTAGCTGAAGGTCTCACACACACTTCGAGAAACCAACTCGTATTTTCAACTTTAAGTAATGGGGCAGATGAGAAAGAAAAGTGCTGAATACCTTTGAACATTGGAGCTAGTTTCCAAACCCCAAGGCCGCCAATGGATGTGTACTGTCCAAGAGCGCATTCAAGAAAAAACAGAGGAACTCCCGCAAAAATTAGCGTCAAAAAATAAGGAATCAAGAAAGCCCCTGGAATCAACACAGAAATCCATGAAAGCACACACACACACACACACCATGGCACAGACTCTTGGAGATGGAGAAGCGTCTCTTACCTCCGCCGTTTTTCCCGCACAGATACGGGAATCTCCACACGTTCCCCAGGCCGATGGCGTAGCCCACACATGACAGCAGAAAATCAAATTTCCCACCCCAAGTTTCTCTGATTGGAATCTCTTTCTTCTTCTTCTTCTCTGGTTTGGCGTCCTCTGATTTGGGTTTGTCGTTAGTTGGGATCTCGTTGAGTTCCGTCGCAACTTGTCCATCGGTGTTTTTGGTGTTGTTTGTCGCCATGTCTCTGATTTCAGACCGCAGTAGAGATCCACACGAACCCCCGATGATCAGTTAACCTGAAGACGGCGAATCACACGAAATCATTGGCTTTCCCCCTGCAAGCGCAGTCCGCGGTTTGACACACACACACACACACACACACACATCTGCCGTCTCTGACACAGAACTATCTTTCGTGACAGTCAATTTAAATATTTTTTTCGATCTACCTTCCCAGTTTTATTTTTTCGTCAATGTTTTGATTGACTATTGGCATACCCCTTAAAATGCATGCACATAAACACACACTTGAACATTTTCTGAACATCATTTCCATCTACTTACAGTGAATTATGCCTGTTTTCCAAAGGCAGTGTGTCCGTGTATGGCTGTGTGAGTTGTAAACTTCCAGAAATGAGTGTTGTGTCCATGTAAAGCGGTCCTGCGGGAGCTGTCCACACGCCACTGGTGCTGGAGCCGGTCTGAGATCAGCCGCTACTCAACATTTACACAGCGTCAATGTCATGTGAAAGTCAACACCCCCCAACGGATACACACACACACACACACATTTTCAGGTCAGGCACGCAAGTCTTTACCTTTACATCGTTCACAATGAAAATTATTTCTTTGAATATTACCAACATTTTGGAATTTATTTTTTCATTCATAAGTTCCCTTTGAAAGGTTAAAAATGTCATGTTTCATTCATCCGGGGCTGCCTGCCACGAGGTACAAAATCAACTCATGCGTTCATTGCTCATTTCTGAAGAAGAATTGCAGTCCTCAAACCCAGCCCACTTCATACCCAAATAAATCATCATATAAATATGGCAGATGAGGAGCAGAACAGGTGACACGGCGTCAGGTGAGCAGGGGAATATCGTTCCTCGTCTGAAACCGAGGAGGAAGAAAGTCTGGACTCACATGGATGCACATTCATTCGAAAGTCCGTAAATATGTGGTAAGCGTTTTCAACATTTTCAGTCCGTCCAGAATATATTTCACGAACTTACTTGTTAGTTCGCTCTTTGAATTGGTCTAAAACCATAAAGCACAGAATGTCAGTAAACATTGGTTAATGAAAAGTGGGATTTGGGTCAGAGTGGTGTAGATTTCACCTCCTCTCTCGGAGCTTGGCTCACACTGAACAACTCAATTGGAAGCAGATGGTGAACCAATGAGGGGTGAACTAACCTACTAATGATACTACATGAAATTTAGCATTTGCACTCCATCTGGCTGCATCTCCCTTCGGTTATGGGCTGAGAAAACATGACATATTTATGCACCTGCTGTGGATGCTTGAGTACTTTTGGCTTGCTGGTTGGTGACACCCATGATATTCCCAGACGGACTCATTTACAGAGAGATGTGTGTGATGATCATCAACTTAGTGCTGCTGCCCATCAAGGATATTCAAAATAATGACTGTAGTTTGTCCTGATTTGACTTTCTTTGACGTAACAACATTTCTTTTGACACTCGGGTGTATTTGCGGTAAATTATAACCCAAAATTTAGAATCTAATACTATTATATCTATTTATTGTTCATCAGGCTTGATCATCTTAAGTGGATTATTTAGTTATTCTGTAAATTGAGGAAGTCTTCATAGGTTGCACAATTGCAGAAAAAGACATTGATTTTGTTCTAATAAAACATGCTAATTCTGTTGGCCGTAAGAGAGCGATCAATCCTCGTAGTGTCGGTAGTCTTTGAGAATGCTCTGACCTAAATCTTGACCAATATAGAGTCGGTTATAAGTGCAGTGAATCTACACTCTAAAAAATGCTGGGTTGTTTTAACCCAACTTTGGGTCAAATATGGACTAACCGAGCCGTTGGGTTAAATTTTTACATTACATTTTTAACCCAACATTTCGGGTTTGTCCATATTTGACCCAAAATTGGGTTAAAACAACCCAGCAGTTTTTAGAGTGTAGGTGGACCAGGTTCTGCTTGAGCACGGCAGATCATTTAGGAGGGCTATATAAAAATATGCATCCCTCAAAGCAATATGGGGCATCAAAAACATTTTAAAATTTTGTTCAAGTGTTGCTAGGCAACAGCAAAATGGTCTCAGCCTCCTTGTTATATTGGTGTTTCTGCTGGGGTTTTGCTCCCATTGATGTCTATGGGTTTTTTGTCTCCTTTCATTGGCAAAAATTAAACTTTCATTTTTTGTTTTTGTAAAAAAAAAAAAAAAAAAATTGCACTCGAGTTACAGAGAGGCCTAAATCTTTTAGCCAGAATTATATTCTTGAGAAAAATTGATCCTTCATTGTTAATAAATATCTTTGCACACAAACCACATATGGTGTGTTTGCTAACATTCGAGATCAACGGTTATTAATGAATCGTTGAAATGCGGAGGGTTACACAGAAGCACGTCACAATGTCTGCACTCTCTCCTCACTACACTGTGCTACTAATCTACTGCATTCACCGCAATCACTATGGAAACTGACTTTTGCCACACAGCCGCTACTGAAACAGACATGCAGCAAATGCTGTCAGCAATTGTCCAGTGACGCATGTTTACATGGAGGTCTGAATCAGTGTTTCTTGTAGACAACAGCAACATCTCTTCTGTAGTTCAGAAAACAGCACGAGAATAGAAATTGCACAAGAAATCCTTCAGTATTTTTAAGGCTGAAATCTCACATTACTGTGCACATTCGAAACTAGATCCAAATTTGACACTGTAGTCATACATACAGAGGTTTGGACAAAAGGCGTACACATTAAAACCCTTTTAATCGAACCACCTGCCTCCGGCTAAAACGTATGAAAATGCTCTTCATGGTTTTAAAGGGTTTATCTGCTTCAAAGGCATCAGTCCTCCAGCGCCAGAAAGAATGCGCTCAAGCCTTTGGACAAGTTTCTGAGCTCAGTCCTCATTCAGGGGAAAGGCTTCCCTTTTTTTACCGCTTTTTACATAAGGCAAATTTACACGTGCTGATGATGTCAGCTCTAATTCCGCACGCTCCCTCCCCCCTCCCAAAAAACATTTACAAAAATAAGGCATTTTCCTCTTGAGTGCAAAGGGATTTAGCGTGCATGTAAAATTAGCATGCATTTCAAAAGCATTGCTGTAATTCTCTTTGTGATATTGAGGTTGTTGTGCAAAGAAATGCTGAATGCAAAAGAAGAGCAGGACTAATATTTGACTGCTAATAGATCATTCTGATTGGTTATAAATTGGCATGCGTGCATAATGGCAGTAAGAGTAAAAACACAAGGGGAGCATCCTAAATCTGAAGAGAAAATGATCCTTCCCTCTTTGTGCATGTTGCTGTCACCCTGGATCTTTTCATAAAACCGCCACGGGCGTGCCTCGCATTTGAATTAGGCTGATGAGTGGAATCTGTGCCCACAGAGAGGCCAGCGGCGCTTTCCGACATCACATGACGCTTAATTAGGGATTCTTCTATATTATAAGGCTGGATTTGTGCCAAATGTCTATCAGTGGTTTCAGTCAATGCACTAATCATTGCGCTCGCTGCAGCCCGAGGTGCATCGCTCTCTCCCCTGGCGTCTCAGACACGGAAAAAAAAACAACAGCCTGTGAAGGTATCTCTAATTTTAGAGATTTAAAAACATGGTGTAACACTTTCGAGAGCTAGTTCACTTGGAAGACAAGGAGATGATAATTCTGGGGGTAAATAGGGGTAATGGGATGCACAGAGAAGAATAATCTTCAGTCGTTATTTACTACAAATCTTCCCCTCACTGTAGCTTTAATCTCATTAGTGTTTTTTCAATGTACAAATTGCACAAAGAGTGCTGAGAACCAATGGCAAAGTCAGTGGTGTGGTGTGACATGGTGTAATCTGTCTTCACACACAAAACGAGATTTTCCGTGAATTATTAAAGTCATCTCATCACTGCAGCCACTGCTAGAAGCTCCGGTTAATGATTTCCATTACACGAGTGTAGATGTTAAAACTTCATGCTGATTTGCGGTCAACTTTCGCCAAGATGAGCACCAAGACGCACCTATAAACGGCTCCATGCAATTACGCTTCCTTCCATATGGTGATGTTTATAGCCTTCTGTCTGGTGTTAATATAAAAGTATATATCCTGGCGTGTCAGCTGCGATGCTGGCTCCAGGGATCAACCACAGTGCGGTCTGCCCAGCGAATAAGCACCGCAACCGTCTGGATTGAGCCGAGTAGGAGACATCTCTGGAGTGTTCGAGTGGGCACCTTCCGTCCTCAGTGTTTCGTTGACTAGCCCACGACACTTCAAGACGGCTCGACGGTGATTCTGGCGTCCCCCTCTGTCCCCCACTCAACTCAGCCCAGCTTACTGACCTCTACATCAGCGTTTGGCTTAAACCCTTCATGTGATCTACTCACAATCTCTAACACCACAATCTCACTGCAACCCAACAATCCTGTCATCGTTAAAGCAGGTTCAGTGGCAACCGTTCCGTAACGCATACTACCTACCGCAAAATACAACAATATCTGTCCAACACAAATCCTCATTCATGCAAAATACAGTACACTGTAAAAAATTATCGTGATTTTAACAGTAAAAGACTGTAAAAATGCTACAGTGAAAAACTGTTAATTGGTTAACAGAAAGTTTCCTTACTATATATGGTAAATAACTGTGATATATCCACAAGTTTCCTACGCCCCATGAGGCCTTGCGTCAAAAGTGGGCGCGACTTCCGGTTGGAAGTAAACAAAGCGTGACTTGACATGCTTGACACTCGTTCATTCAACAGTTGACAGTCATTCAAGTTACAGCGATCCAAACTAGCTAACGATGTGGGAACACAACCTCAACCAAATTAAAAAGGGTGAAATAACAGTACCTTTACCCTCCGCAGTAGTTGGCTGGGACTATTATAATAACATTATTAATAATCAATACTCATCAAGGCATGGTGACAGACAGTTGTGCGAGCTGACAAACAATTAAAATAAAAAATACACACTTAGTCATTGATGTGCTTTGGAGTTTATTCAAAATTATAAATGAATGTGCTGCTTGAATACATTAACTGGCACATTTGGTATTCTGTCAACACCGGCTTTGATCCTGAGTTTAGGTGTAACATCAGTAGCGAACAGCCAATCACATGCGGATAGAGTTTATAGAATATTAAGAATTTAAACAAATGTACACAGGAAGATTCGTCGTCTTTTGGGAGGTGATGGAAACTACAGTCGTTGGCAGGATCACTCTGATTTCGTTTTCGGCTTATGTTCAAAACAATCACGTTTAAGCCACTGAACCGCGAACAGCACATGTTGTCCCTGAGCTCCGTAACGTCACCTCTCATAAAGATTTGCGTCTTTAAATAGTAAAATAATTCTCCGAAAAACAGCTAGCCTTTTCGCTAACGAACACACAAAACACCATTGGAATGCTACTCCCGCCGCCTCACCGGAAGTTTCACCCACTTTATTTTTTACAGGAGCGCCCCTCGGAAACTTGTGGATATAATGGTACATTTAATGTAATTTTACTTTAAAGTGCTGTTAAATTTACAGTTTTTGGAAGTGAAAAAAGAAGTCATTGTATAATATTCAGTGAAAAAATGTAAATTGACTTTCCCACAATTCCCTGCGTGACACTTCACATTTAATGTATTTATGTTTATTCATAATTTTCTTAATTTTTGTCTTACCAGTTATGTTTTTAGGGTTTTATGTTACATTTAACGTTGTTAAATTAATTCTTATTTCATTTTTTTAAATTTCAACATGTTACCATGATGGTGTTTAATGTTTGTGTGAATGACACTGTGCAGCTTCTATATAGTCGTATGAACTCT